TTAAAAACATAGAGAAAATTATCAAAATACGGGAATCTCCCGTCTGACAAGCCAAAATACGGGAGTTCCTTTTAGGTTACCAAATTACGGTAGTCGGAATTGGCAATTCCGACTGGAGGGGAAGTCCGGAATTAGGGTTGAAACCCTAGTCGGAATTGGGCAATCCGACTAGAGGTAAGTGCCAATTTAATTAAAAAAAACTAGTCGGAATTGGGGAATCCGACTAGGGTATTTTTGAATTTTTTTTTTTAAAACAATGCGTAAAGCGGATAAAATTTATTAAAAACCTAGTCGGAATTGGGAAATCCGACTAGGGTATTTTGATATTTTTTTAAAAAAATGACGTGTTTAATTGTGGTTCGAACATTTTACCAACCAACTCGTTTTATTTTCATTTTATTGTTTGCACTACGTGTTTTATCTGTATTCATTTATTCTACCAACTGCATTTATATGGTCACCGTACGTACCCCAATAGCTCCTATAAAATGAGTTCATTTCTTTTCAAAATTTTCACTCCAAAAACAATCCTTCTTTCTCTCTTGATATATTTATTACATTTTCTGTTTAGGCATTCTTCTCTCATATAAAAATGTCTAGTGAGGGAAATATTGTTGTTATGGTTCATTGGAATGGCTCTACATCTCAAAAAGATGATGAAATAGAGTACTCCATACCTCATAGGGCTGTACTATTCATTAGTGAAGCAGATGATTATACTACTATACATGAGAATGTTCTAAATCATGTTAGAGGCGACGGATTTTCCGAAATTAAATTAATTTACGGAAAATTGCCAAAATATAAGAATTATGTATATGTTGCTTCTAGACTATGGCCCATTCACGATGAGCAGACATGGCGTCATTTTTTCCGGATCGCTAAAAATGAGTATGAGGAGTTGCACATTTACGTGGAAGCTTCAGCGACCCCGCCACAAACTTTGACGTTCCACGGAACTCCCAGAGAGGAAGGCCCATCATCCGTATATGGTCGGAGGAACAACCGCCAAACGTTTCAGAACTACGAATCTCCTGGTATGTGTTGTTCAAGTTAAATAGAATTTACAATGATTTGGTTTTATTTGTTGTCATTTTAAGAGTGTAGAAGTAGTTAATTTAGTAATTTGTAAATTTTTTAATTTTGATTGTTAAATAGGAATTTCAGAGTAAAAATTGGCTATATGTCTGTCTCATCTGCACAAATTCAATACTTCTATCTAATTACACAAGAAACACATTCTAGTTCAAATAAATGAAATAACCGGAAGTGGAAGTGGAATTTTAAAAAAATTTAAAATTTTATCTCCTGTCGGAACACCCAAATCCGACGAGAGCACAAAAAGTTTTTATTATTCAAATAAACTTAAAATTTGTATACAGCGCATAAAATTTCAAAACTCCTGTCGGAACACCCAAATCCGACCAGAGCACAAAAAGATTTTATACTTCAAATAACTTAAAAATTTTATATATTCCGATAAATTCAAACCAAAAAATTCAAACCATAATTTTATTTTATTTTAGATAGTGTGTTACAAGGAATTGTGTTCAATTATAGAAATTCAAGAATTGTGTTAAATTAATAATTTGTCCCAAATAATAATATTGAAATTTATGAATGTATCTACTTTGTACAGTCACAAACTTGGGTGAAGAGTCGGACGACCCAGACTATGAACAAGGTTTTAGTAGTGATGTCGATTCATCCACGAGCGATGATAGTGACGACGTAGTAGACACCACCTGGGCTAATGTGGAGCTAGAAGAACCATATGTTCAAGCATTAGATTCTGAGCCTGAAAGGATCGAAGTAGGCGCAGTTTACTGTTCATATGATGCACTGAAAGAAGCGGTGGCGAGAGAAAACATTCGTCAATTTCGTCAATTCAGAACGGTTGACAAAAGGCCACGGTCCTGGAAGACGGTTTGCATAGACCCGACCCTTTGCACTTGGCATATCCAAGCAGGAGAAGGTATGACGTCAAAAAAGTGGAAAGTAAAAAAATATCAACCCCATCACAGTTGTAGGGAGGATCCTGTCATGGCTTGGGATGACAGGCTCCTAACGGCCAAAATTATAGTCAGTGAAATCGCTCCAAAAGTGAAAGTCGACCCGGACTACAGCATTAAACTGATAATGTCAGACATATATGAAAAATTTAATATCCGTGTTTCATATAAAAAAGCTTGGAATGGACGCTTGATCGCTCTGGAGCGTAAATTCGGCAATTGGGAGGCATCATATAATGAACTTCCTATGTTGTTGGAATCTATACAGTTTTCAAATCCAGGGACTGTTGTTCATTTGCAATCACAACAGGCCGGCACTCCTGATACGTCTGAATTCCGCCGAGTGTTCTGGTCATTCAAGGCTTCTATAGACGGTTTTAGATTTTGCTTACCCGTAGTCTCGGTTGATGGCACTCACTTATATGGCAAATACAAGGGAGTTCTTCTAGTTGCGGTAGCCATGAATGCTAACCGTGAGATATTTCCTCTTGCATATGCTGTTGTTGAGAGTGAGAATGCTGACAGCTGGTCGTGGTTCTTTGCAAGGGTTATGCGTGATGTGGTTGGAAATCACCGTAGTGTGTGCATTATCTCTGATCGTCATGCAGGAATTGAAAGTGCATTTAGAGCCTTGCGAGAGTTGAGATCGCCACAAGTTTCAAAGCGTTATTGCCTCCGTCACATACGGAGTAATTTCATGACCAAGTTTAGGAACGCGGAACTGAAAAAATTATGTTGGCAAGCTGGTAGCACTCCCACAGAACAGGAATTTCACGACTGTATGCAACAAATACGAGACATAAATGAGAGTGCTTTTCTATATTTGAATGAGATTCCTGTTGAGATGTGGGCTCTGAGCTATGACGATGGCAAAAGATATGGCATTTTGACGACAAACCTTTCTGAAAGTTTTAACAATGTCTTAAAGGGATGCCGCACATTGCCTATCACAGCACTAGTAAAGGCCACATTCGATAAAGTCGTCCAACTATTTGCCGATCGACGAAATGCAGGAATAATGTGGCACCAAACTGGATTCTTGTATCCACAGAACATATGGAAGGATGTTCTTGAGCGGTCACAGCGTAGGTATCACACAACTATTGTCCCGCACAATCGAACAACGGGAATTTACTCTGTAGCTATTGGTTCGCATGATCCAGTGACAATCGATCTGACAAGGCAGGAATGTGGGTGTGAGTATTGGAAGCAGAACGGGATGCCATGTGTTCACGCGTATGCGGTTTGTCGGTTTTTAAAAATAACCGTAGACAGCCTCATCCCAGCTGTGTATTCCTTAAATGCTTACATCCGAACGTACGCTTCCGATATTATGCCTATTAATAATTACCTCAATTTCATGGCAGAAACATCGCATACACTTCTCCCGCCCCCAAACAATAGATCGGCTAGAGTCGGTAGGCCACAGAGAACTCGATTTCCTAATGAAATGGATTTGTGTGCTACAAGGAGAGGACATGAGTAATATTGTAATGTATACCTTGTTGGGTTTTTTGAACTAATGAAATATTTGTTCTCTTTGTTGTAGTTATTGAATTTTTTTAGTTTGCACAACAACTATAATTAGATAAAGTTTAATCAGATAACTATAATCAGATAAGTTCAGTCAAATAAAATTTAATCAGATAAATTTAATTACATAAAATGTAATCATATATATATATAATCAGATGAGTTCAATCAGATAAAATTTAATGAGATAAATATAATCAGATAAGTTCAATTAGATAAAATTTAATCAGATAAATATAATCAGATAAGTTCAATCAGATCAAAATTAGATAATTCCATATTTATTTCACATTGCTTATCTGATCAAACCTCACTCGCACTACAAATGGAGTCAGGATCAAGACATGGGCGGTAATTATACTTCGCAAATATTATTTAAATTTTTTTAAAATAAAAATAGTAATAAAATTTATGAAAACTTAGTTCCTAAATTGATTGTTTTCGATCATTCGGGTCCTAGATCCATAGTTTTCCAAAATTCTTTAATTAATTCATTTAGTAATGATGATAAAAAAATTCATTTAATAACATATTAAAAAAGCTAACCAGTACGTACTAATGTACTATAATTAGATAAAGTTTAATCAGATAACTATAATCAAATAAGTTCAGTCAAATAAAATTTAATCAGATAAATATAATCAGATAAATTTAATTACATAAAATGTAATCATATATATATAATCAGATGAGTTCAATCAGATAAAATTTAATGAGATAAATATAATCAGATAAGTTCAATTAGATAAAATTTAATCAGATAAATATAATCAGATAAGTTCAATCAGATCAAAATTAGATAATTCCATATTTATTCCACATTTGTACAAAAAATAAACTCTAAACCACCAAAGAAACACAATAAGGGCTCGGATCCCTATCGCACGGCTGTTATCAAAAGAGGAGGGGCTTGGATCGGAATCGGAGGGCGGTAAACGGATACCTCCAGTCGGATTTTGGGCTTCCGACAACAATAAAATTTTTAAAAAATTGTTTTAGCTGATAAAGTTAGCTACACGGTACAAGGAAAAAGCTAAATGTGGAAGAAGTTTGGACCACTTTTAGATAAAAGTTAGGTACTATCACACGGACCAAGAACTTTATTTGGAAGAAGTGTGGACCACTAATTACAACACCAACTTTTATTTAATGGATCAAGAACTCCCAACTAATTTGTTTTTATATAAATAGAGTCTAGCCAGTTGGATCAAGAATCCCCACTTAATCCCAAGCAAGAGCACCTACTAGCAAATCAAAATTTGTGATCTGCCAAATTTCCAGGTTAGTTAATTTTCGGTTTTAGAAGTGTAGAAGTAGTTAATTTAGTAATTTATAAATTTTTTAATTTAGATTGTGAAATTGGACTTTTAGAGTAACATTTAGCTATAAAATACTTGAAAGTTAGAAAGTGTGTAACATTTAGAATTTCCCTTAAATTTCGGTGGAGAGATGGAGGCCGGAGACACATACTTTCCATCTTCCATTCGGTGAGGTCGGCATTAGTCTACAAGATGTGGCGATGATCCTTGGTTTGCCCATTCGGGGTATGCCCCTCAGTGGTCCAACCGTTAAGGGTAAGGCTCAGTGGATCGACCTGTGCACGCAGTCGTGTGGTTTCACTCCTCTAGAGACTGATATGTGCACGAGTGATATCACCATGAGTGCTCTTACCCGTCACCAGATCCTACCTGACAGTACAGACGAAGAGGTCACCGAACACACCAGAACCCTAATATGGCAATTGCTTGGAGGCCTTTTGTTCCCTGACATGAGTGGGACAAGAATACGATTATACTTTTTGGAGGTCTTGCAGGGTGACATGGCTTTAGCCCGTCGATGGAGTTGGGGATCAGCGGTTCTCGGGTACCTCTACCATAACTTGTGCAACGGCGCCAAGTGGGAAACCAAACAAGTTGGCGGTTGTATGCACTTGTTACAGATTTGGGCTTGGTCGAGGATTTCGATGGTCCGTCCCTCAGTAGTTCAGGTCATTCAACATGACCATCTTCCATATGGGTGCAGGTATGTTGGCAATTACATCTTAATAATTGAGAATGTGTTATATGACGTTAGAGTTTTTAAATTCATTTCGGTAATAAATAAATGTAGGTGGATCGTCCCCAAGTCATATAAGGGATCCCCAAGACACTGCATACGCCTGTACCGGGATGACCTAGACCGAATGAGTAGAGAGTCAGGTAGTACTTCAAATTTTTACTTCCACCGTACTATTCAATTTTTAATACACATTGTTTTATAGTGGTTAAATTGCAAATTAAAATTTTTACAGTTTGATTTCACTCCCTACGTGTCCGAGGAACTCCCACCTATCATCCTTAATGACGCTCCGCTTTGGTCGGCTAGGGTCATGCTCATATTTTGCAATATGGCCGAAATGCATTACCCCGATCGATTTCTTCGGCAGTTCCATATAAGGCAAGATACTCCGGATGCTCCTTTGGCGGGTACTGATCATCACGGCAATCGTTCCAACATAGTAACCGGTGCCTTGGCGTTGTGGGCGGACATACAACATCATATATACTTTCTTGATTATGATCGACATATGTCCGTCGAAGCAACTAAGAGGTACCGAAAATGGTACCAGAAGCATGGTATGACACGTGTCCAGAACCCTTCTCACAATGTGCCCACGACAGGCTACATCCTGACATCACACGATTGGGGTATTGTGGTAAGTTTTTGAATACATACTATATTCATTAACATATATCATGTCATATTATTTACACGTGTTACATTTTTATGCAGAGGCAGAGCTTTTACGAGCTGAATCAGCTCTTAGCCGACCGCGCAAGTCATGAGGACTGTCAAAAACGACTACAGCGGATGGCCCTGGACGTAGGTGATGAAGAGATGCTCCGCCGGGGCATATTCCATTATGAAGATGAAGATGAAGATGAAAGTGGAAGTGACGAAGAGGATGATGCAGATGAACATGAAGGTGGGGGTGAGCACTCACAATCGCCCCCTCAATTTTCAACACGTGAGGGTGTCTCATTTGATCAACCACCCCCTCAATTCTCAACGCATCAAGGTGTCTCATTTGATCAACCACCGCCGTATTATGATTCTTATCAGTACTCCACACAAGCGGTTGATTATGTTGATTCATTTCTGGATTCGTCGTCGTTTTACTATGGAGACACAATGGGGCCTTGGAACACTAGCGGTGGGAACGGAGCAGGGCCGAGCACGCAACGTTAGATGTAGTATCATTAAATTTATATTATTGTATGTACTATCTATTTACATTGAAACCTACATTTGTTTTGTTCACTTTCATTAAATTTACAAATCGCATTTATAACAAATTCAAATTTGTATCTCATTTTATGAATCTTATTCACAATACAAATGGATTTAAAAAAATAAAATTAAAAACTATAACTTTAGGCCAATTTAAAAATTAAATTGGCGACTAATTAAAAAAAGAGAAATTCGGCCAATTTAAAAATTTAAACATGAATGAAATTGGCCAATTTAGTTTAAAACTTTAGTTGGAAATTAAAAACTTTAAATTAAAAAATAATAAAAACTTCCTAGTTGGAAGTGGTAGATCCGACATGAGAGAATTTAAAAGTTTAGTTTTAAAAAACTTTGAAAATGAAAAGCGGCCAAAAATTAAAAAAAAAAAAAAACCGTCGGAATTGGCTAATCCGACTGGAGGGAGGAAATTGTTTTTCCGAAACCCTAATCCCTGGTCGGAAGTTGCAGTTCCGACTCCCATATTTTGGTAAACCCTACATAAATCCCCGTTTTTTGGCAAGTATATCCCACTTTTCCCGTGTTTTGGTAAAACACCCTAAAAACATATACTAGTACTTCGTACTACGGACTACCTGTCGTGCTTATTTATACAAAAAAATGTGGTGCCATTATAAAAAACGTAAATTTTATGGTGGATACTAAATTAATTGATAAATTAATAATAAAGTAAAAATGATTTAAGATAAATGTTGTCAATTTTGAAATGAGGCAATTTCATTTTATTGGATTTAGGCGATTGAGATAAGGGCATTTCTATGGTACATCTATGAAGGTGTACACTTCCAATCAAAAAATGACAAGTGAGATTGGAGAGCTAACAATGTCTAATGTGTCTATTTCTCATTGGTTAAATGAATGGGTACACCCTAAATTTCAAATGCACCATAGCAAAGCCCGAGCAGTTGGTATACCGTGGGATGATCCCACGGTGAGCATTGCGCTCCACTCCCAAAATGACATAGTTTTGTCAATTTTAAAAAACAAATCACGTGAACAGTAACGGTTTTTTCTTTCTTTTTGTTCCAGTAGCATGAATGATGTAACTCACGTGTAAAGATATGTAACTTACGTTATTGATCAATGTAACTTAAGTGCATTCGAAATGTATCTTGTCAAATACATAGTATTAGAAATACAATATTGATTTCAATGTAAATAACGAAAAAAGAAAGTCTATTAATTGCACAGTTACTTTAGGTAAACCGTAAATATATTTTGTTTTTAATATATAATGACCATAAAAAATAATTTTTTAAAAAAGATCATTTTTTTGTTTCAATAACAGGGGTTGATTTTTTAATGTAACTCATGTTATTACAAAAGTAACTCGCGTTGATGACAAATATAACTTAGGTGTATACAGAATGTAACTTGTTGGAAAATTCAACAAATTTTTTGTGTGTTTGAGAATAATATATATCATAAACATTGATTTCAATGAAAATAATGAAAAATTGATCCTAATAGCTTAATTACTTTTTTAAAATAGAGAGTATATTTTTTTTTGATATTAGGGCTATAAAAATGATATAGCAGGGGTTTATTCCATGGTGTAACTCGCATAATTAAGATGTAACTGAAGTATATTAAGATGTAACTCGCGTACATTAAGATGTAACTCGCGCAGAAAAAGATGTAACTCGCGTACATTAAGATGTAATTAGAGCATAAAAAGATGTAACTTCGTGATATATTACCAAATGTAACTTCAAGAATCAAAATAAACAAACTCAATGTCTTAAAAACCTCTAAAAAAATATAAAAGTGATAAAAAATTATATTATAGAAAAAGTGTGTCAATATAAAAAAAATATTACAAAAAAGTGTATGAATATAAAAAGTATATTACAAAAAAAGTATTTGAATATAAAAATTATTACAGAAATAAAAATAGTGTATGAATATGAAATGCAATATATTTATTTTATTTAGATTAATAAACTTTTTGTTATGTATTGATAAAGAATAAAAAAATAGATTCAATTATAATTTAGGATGAAGATAAAAAAAGTAGGATTGCCATTAAATATTTAGTATTTTAATTTGATGGAAAAATAAAAGAATTGAACAAAAGAAAAAATAAATAAAGAAAAGCAAAAGAAAAGGAGTGAACGTTGCTCCACGAAGAAAGAAAAGGGAAAGACACTAGCCTAAAGTGGGATCGGCCCACAATGCGGAAGGTGGACCGATCCCACGGTATAATTTGAGAAGTCTGAGAGATAATCTCTTCAACACGAATAGGGCGCTAGGGCGCAAATTATACCGTGGGATCGATCCACCATCTGCATGGTGTGCCGATCCCACTTTAGGAAGTTGGTCTTCCGTTTTTTGTCTCCTGGAGCAACTTCAGCCTTTTGCTTTTGATTTTCTTTATTTTTCTTTTCTTGAATTCTTATCATTTTCCATCAAATTAAAATACTAAAAATTTAATGATAATTTACTTTTATTTATCTTCACCTTAAATAATAATTGAATCAATTTTTTTATTCTTTATCAGTACATAACAAAAAGTTTATAAATCTAAATAAAATAAGTATATTGCTTTTCATATTCATACACTACTTTTTATGTAATGTTTATAACATTCATACACTTCTTTGGTAATATATTTTTTATATTCATACACTTTTTTGTAATATATTTTTATATGTATACACTTTATCTACATTATTTAATCTCTTTTATATGTTTTTAGAGATATTTAAGACATTGAATTTGTGTATATTATGATTCTTGAAGTTACATTTGAATTGAAGTTACATCTTCTTATGTTTGAGTTGCATCTTATTATGTGTGGGTTACATCTTATTATACGTCAGTTACATCTACTCATGTGTGAGTTGCATCTTTTTATGCACGAGTTACATTTAATTATGCGCGAGTTACATCTAATATTTGTTATTTTTTACTTATGTTTATCTTTAACTAATTATATTACAAGTGAATTAACTTCTTTATTTACTAATTTATTACAAAACTTTATTAACCCACACAAAAATAAGTATATTTTATTTCATAATCATACACTATATTTTTACTTTTTTATCATCTTAAATTACTACCGAATTTATTTTTTGTGTTTTTTTGCATTTAAAAACTTTTTTTGTAAAATTTTTTTCATATTCATACACTTTTTCTATAATAAATTTCTTATCACTTTTATATAGGGAAATTTACAATATTCATCCCGTAACTTTTGACCGTTATCATTATTAGTCTCGTAACTTTAGTCACATGCAAATTAGGTCCTCTAACTAATTAATATTTGCGATTTAAGGACTTTTCTCCAGAAAAGTACACTTTCCGGCAATAGCATACCGGAAAAGATGTCACCGGCGTCGAACTTTTCCGCCGGAAAGTGTACTTTCCGGTAGGAAAGTCCTTAAATTACAAAGATTTATTAGTTACAGGACCAAATTTGATAGTGCTTTAAGTTACAGGACAAAAAATGATAACAACCGAAAGTTACAGGACTAAAATTGCAAATATCCCCTTTTATATGTGTTCGTGTTTTAAAGACATTAAGTTTGTTTATTTCGATTTAAATTTGATAAAACGTGATATTTCATTTTTCATTCATTTTTCACATGTATGATCTATGTTATATATATATATATATATATATATATATATATATTATAAGGATTTACATTTGGTAACATATGGAGTTATATTTTCTTATCCGTGAGTTACATCTTTCTATGCGTCAGGTACATTTTTAGTTGCCTCAACAAGTTACATTTTGCATACACCTAAGTTAGATTTTCCATCAACGCGAGTAACATTTTACATAACACGAGTTACATCACAAAATAAAGCCCTGCTATAGAAACAAAAGAATCATTTTTTTTGCAAAAAAAAAAATTGACAAAAAAAATGATTTATTTGGCAAAAAAATGATTTTTAAAAAACATTTTTATGTCCTTAATATTAAAAATAGAGCATATACATTGTTTGAAAAATCATTTAAAATCATCACAAAAAATCAATTTTTTGCAACAAAAAATGATTTAATATATGGCTTTAATATTAATGATGGAATACAATTCCAACGAAAAGATATTAATCAATCAAATATTCATGAATCGTAGAAAGTAATAGATGTATTATTAATCGAGAGAGGCCCCCTTTTACAAGAGATGTACATGAGTATTTGTAGACTAGAGGAACTAGTATTCTAGTATGAAACTGATACAATAAATGCTATTTTATACATATTAATTCGAATAGGACTATTGTAACGTTTCTGTTGTAACTCTTGTCTTTAATGTCTCCTTTGTGCCCATGACTCTTCTAAACCCTAGGAAATATCCCGGCCTCACTAGAACTCCACCCAGGCTCGAGGTCTGCTGTCCAGCCTGGCGTGGTTGTGGGTTCCAGTGATTCGTTCTGGAGCCTTAGGAAGAGTCCGACCTCCCCGGGCTGACCACTGAGCCTGTCGCCTGCTGTCGATGTCGGTTTAGGCGTGGCCAGCCTCGTAGTAGATTTGGATCTCCCTGTTCAGGCTCTTATGGCTTCCTCGTTAATCCTTTGTCTGAGTTGATCCCGTTGAGGGCTTGATCCCTTTGTGGGCTTGATCCCGTTGTTGGGCTTTGCTTTAATTCAATCTTGGGCCATGGTAATGATCCATGGCACCATCAATTAAAAAACATATTCACTACTTAATTGAGCAATTAGACACATTGTTTTCATTAAAATCAATCTTTTATTTCTTATACTCCGTATTAGATAAGTTACATTTCAATTTGCTTGAAGTTACATTTCTTATCAACGTGAGTTACATTTTTTTACACACGAGTTACATCATTCTATCACTGGAGAAGGAAAAAAAAGTTACGCGCGTTTTTGCCTGTGGAAGCAGCATGCTCACGGTGTGCTGCTCCCACAGT